ATCCAATCTGTTCCCTCTTCTCTTTTTCCCAGGTGGCAGCTCTGAAACCTGGGAACCAACCTAGACCCGAAATCCAATCTGTTCCCTCTTCTCTCCTTCCCAAGTGGCAGCTCTGAAACTTGGGAACCAACCCCAGACCTGAAATCCAATCTGTTCCTAGACTTGAAATCCAATCTGTTCCCTCTTTTCTCCTTCCCAGGTGGCAGCTCTGAAATCCAGACTATGGAATTAATCATTTTTTGGGTCTTATCAGTATTTCTGAAAGCCTAAAACACATTTTGAGACCTGAAATACCCCCAAACCTGCAGCAGGAGCTGCGTCAGTCCCTCCTGCCAGATGAAAGTGCCGTCGCCCCGTCCCCCCTCCCAAAAATCTGGCTCTTCCCAGCCTTAATTACCCAATATTAACAAATTTCAGCCCTCTGGGGCGACTCTCAGACTGGTTCAATAAGGGAGAGATTGTTCTCAGCAGGCTGCAACCAACTAAAAACCAACAGCCCTGCCTAAAAACCACCCAAAACCCAATGGCCCTGCCTAAAACCCACCCAAAACCCAACGGCCCTGCCTAAAAACCCACTCAAAAACCAACAGCTCTGCCTAAAAACCCACCCAAAACCCAACGACCCTGCCTAAAAACCCACCCAAAAACCAACAGCCCTGACTAAAAACCCATCCAAAACCCAATCGCCCTGCCTAAAAACCCACTCAAAAACCAATGGCCCTGCCTAAAAATCCCCCCAAAATCCCTTTTAGGTGCCAACTGGTGTGTCCTGAAACAGGTTCATTCCCCCTCCTCTGGCCACCGTGTCCCAGGAGGGGCTGAATTTCCTCCTCGGGGGTATTTTTAAGTCCAAGAGCTAAACACCTCTCAGGTGGTGGGAGCTGAGCGAGGCTGAACACTCCCAGCTTGCTGGGCCCTCTGGAAAAGATGGAATTTCCTTCACAAAGTGAGAACTGGGGGCATTTGGGAGCTGGAAGTTCGTGGCTATGTTCCACTCCCTTCCTGCCTGCCCATTGTCCTCCGGATTTACTCATTTCTCTGTGCCCAGGAGTGTTATTTTGGGACACTCCAGGGATCAGACCCAGTTTCCCCTGAATTCAGCGCTAAGCACTGACCTTGCACTTAATAAATCTGACTAACCAGGGGTTAGATTTATTAATTCTGAGCCCAGGCTTTGCCTTCACGCCAGGAAGAGGAAAACCCGGAGCGAAGCCGAGGTGTGAAACAGGCAGGAGGGAGGGAACCACCCGCCCGGGTTTTCCTGCTCGGGGTTGTTCCTGCTGCCCGACACGATCCCTTACTTGTTCTTGAAGTCCTCCACCATGTCCTGCATGTTCCTGAGCTCGGAGTCCAGGCGGCCCCGCTCGCCCATCAGGCTGTCGAGCTGCCGGCGCAGGTTGTTGATGTAGGCTTCGAACAGGGGCTCCAGGGACTTCCTGGTGACCGTGTGCCCCTGCTCCTGCAGGAGGGTCCACTTGGTCTCCAGCACCTTGTTCTGCTGCTCCAGAAAGCGAACCTGGCGAGGGACAAAACAAACAAAAAAAATCACCACGGGGACGTGTTGTTGAAACCCAAGGCACCAAAACACCCCCCCCTTCAACCACCGGGAAAAGGTGGGATCGTCAACACCTCTGGTGGTGTTGGAAGGTCAAGGGACACGGGGACAATCCAACCAAAATTATTAGGAACATCCTTATTTCAGATTCTCAAAAGTACCAGAAGCCTCTGGAGATGTTTAGAGGGAACTTTTCCTGAGTTTGGATCAGGCCAAACACCCGTATTTGCAATTTTAGGTGTTTCTCCCCTCACTGGATGCTCAGCCCACCTTACTGGTGTTATCCCACCGCGGAGCTGGTGTTATTCGATTGCTGGAATTTTACAACCAGGAGAAGATCCATCCAACCCCCAGGGATGTGTTTTACGGGGACAAGGGGGAGAATTACTGTGTCAATAAAAGGAAGGTGCTGAGAAGCTCATCCTCGCCGAGAGGAAACATCAAACGGGTCTTTAGTTTCCAGCCAAGCCCCGCCGTTTGCCAGCCGGGATCCGTCCAGGCAAGTCCCGGGATCCAAGGGAAGTTTCTTCCTGAAGTTTTTTTTCCCGAGGCGGCTGAAAACCAGCCCGGGCAGCAGCGAGCTCTCACCTTGTCGATGAAGGAGGCGAATTTGTTGTTGAGGGTCTTGATCTGCTCCCGCTCCTGCGTCCGCACCTTCTGGATCTCGGGGTCGATGTCGAGCTTCAGGGGGGCCAGCAGGCTCTGGTTCACCGTCACCTCGTGGATGCCGCCGGGGGGGCACACGGGGAACCCGGGGCCGCCTCGGCCGCCGAATCCGGGACCTCCCAGCCCGAATCCGCTTCCCAGCCCGTAACCGCCACCGGCACCGGCTCCTCCTAAGCCAAAAGCGGCTCCACCACCACCAAAGCCCAGCCCGAAGCCGGAGCCGCCGCCGAAGCCGAATCCGCCGCCGGCTCCGCTCCGGAGACCCCCGCCAACGGAGCCGTAGGAGATCCTTTTGCTTCCACCCAGGTTGTAGAGGCTCCTGCTGCCGAAGCCACCGCCGGCTCCGAAGCCTCCTCCGCCCCCGGCTCTTCCTCCCCCGACTCTGGAGACGGAGACGGAGCTGAAGCTGCTCCTGGTGCCCCCGCCACCGCCTCCCACGATGGCAGAGCCCGAGCTGAAGCCCCTCATGCCCCCTCCGGTGGATGATCGGAAAGAGATCCGGCTCATGGTGGCTGGAGACGCAAAGAGCGGGGAAAAAAGGGGCCGGAGAACCGAAGCTGCGCGGCAGGAAAAGAGCAGAGGGCGAGGGAGGCAGAAACCCCTGTGATGGGAGAGCTCGGGAGCCTCCTCTTTTATCTGCTTGGAAAACTTGGCACGGGGATTCGGGACTTGACGTGCCTTGCAGCGACTTGCCTCGTCCAACGCACCTCGGCTGCGCGAGGCGCTGAAAAATGCATTGTTTGCAGGCAGGGAAGTAACGGGCAGAGGGAGCTCCCCACCCCCCCAGCGCCTCTGAGTCATGGAATTAGAATTGAATGGGACTTGGGGGCAGGATCCAACACGATTCCCGGGACCCTGGGAGCCGCTTTCCCTCAAGGGCTCGCTGGCTTGAGCAAGATCCCTCGCCCCGAAGGTTTTGCAAGTGGGGTTTTGGGGTTGGACAAGTTTCGTAAGCGGAGAAATCGGGGCTTTTCCAAGTTTTCCAGCTCCGGGGCTGGATGTGGGTCTCCCCACTGCTGGCTTGGGAAGTTGGGTGTGAAGGTGGTTTTGAGGATCAGAGCAGATGTTTTGATTTTATTTGGGAAAATCAAATGGAAAAATCAGATTTGATTTTTTTGGGGTTTTTTTTGAATCCAAGCAATCACGGGCTGGAGGGGATGAGCTGAGTGGGAGTTGCCTCCTGGCACTATTTTCTGGGATCTTCCCAAAAAATCATCTCCCCCCTTTGCAGGGCAAACTGAGAGATTAGTTCACTGAAGATTTTGCAAGTTGGATTTTAGACTTTAACACATTTCATAAGCAGCAGAAATCGGGGCTTTTCTGAGGTTTCCAGCTCTGGGGCTGGATGTGGGTCTCCCATTTGTTGGCTTGGGGAATTGGGTGTGAAGGTGGTTTTGACGATCAGAGCAGATGTTTTGATTTTGTTTGGGGAAAATCAAATGGAAAAATCAGATTTGACTTTTTTTTTTTTTTTTTTTTGGATTCAAGTGATCATGGGCTGGAGGAGATGAGCCGAGTGAAAGTTGCCTCCTGGCGCTATTTTCTGGGATCTTCCCAAGAAATCATCTCCCTCCTTTGCAGGGCAAACTGAGGGATTAGTTCACTGAAGGTTTTGCAAGTTGGGTTTTAGGGTTGGACACGTTTCATAAGCGGCAGAAATCGGGGCTTTTCTAAGGTTTCCAGCTCCGGGGCTGGACGTGGGTCTCCCGTTGTTGGCTTGGGAAGTTGGGTGTGAAGGTGGTTTGGATGAGCAGAGCAGATGTTTTGATTTTTTTTTAATTTTTTTTTTTTTTTAAATCAAATGGAAAAATCAGATTTTGTTTTTTGGGGGATCTAAACGGTCGCAGGTTTGAAGAGATGAGTTGAGTGGAAATCACCTCGTGGCACTATTTTCTGGGATCTCACCAAGAAATCATCACCCCTCGTTGCAGGGGAAACCGAGGGATTATTTAACACGACTTTGAAAGGCAGCAGACGAATCCCTTTTCCAGAATCACTTCAAATTGGATTAAACAACACCACGAGACTCATAAAACAGCCATTAAACAGCTGCTTGGAAGGATTGTTGTTCTGTAGGTTCTCCCTGTCAGGCCCAGGGTTCAAAAGCTCCTTCTGAAGTGGGATTTTTATCACTTTTTTCCACCCCCTCCTCAGTATTTATCCAACATTTCCCACGTCAGTGCTGGAAAATGTTTCTAAAATAGCTTTTGCCTCTTGATCTTGGCCCGGGGTGAACCCTCGTGGAGGAGCTTCAACCCCTCTGGTGAGTCTGGGTCGTGCTTTGGGATGGGGTAAGAGCTGGGGATCCTTCTCCTGGATCCATGAACAGCTGGATATGGGACACAAGGAAGATCCCCCCTCAGTCCCACCCAAAACACCTCCCAAAATATTCCAGTGAAGCGGATTCTTCCCACCTTGGCCGGGTGATAAAACAGTAATGGGCTGAGGGGTGAAACCCTGAGCTCCTAAACCAAAAACTAATCGTCAAATTCATCTGCACGAGCAACAAAAATCTCCCAAATTCACCAATGTGAGCAATAAAACAAAAATCTCCAAAATTCACCAACGTGAGCAATAAAAAAACAATCTCCAAAATTCACCAACGTGAGCAATAAAAAAGAAAAAATCTCCTAAATTCACCAATGTGAGCAATAAAAACAAATTTCCAAAATTCACCAATGTGAGCAATAAAAAAGAAACCCTCTCAAATTCAACCACTTGAGCAACAACAAAAAAAATCTCCTAAATTCGCCAACATGAGCAATAAAAAAGAAACCCTCCCAAATTCAACAACGTGAGCAGTAAAAAAGAAACCCTCCCAAATTCACCGATGTGAGCAATAAAAAAAAAAATCTCCTGAATTCACTGACGTGAGCAATAAAAAAAAAAAATCTCCTGAATTCAGCAACGTGAGCAATAAAAAAGAAACCCTCCCAAATTCATTCACTTGAGCAACAACAAAAAAAAACCCTCCCGAATTCACCGACGTGAGCAATAAGTGCTCCAAAAGGAGCAGCTCAAGGGGATCGGCTGCGTCTCGGAGCTTGTTTGTGTTGATGTGTTTCCAACCCCCGCTGTGTTTTTTTTTCCAGTCTGGCAACTTGAAAGGACCTGAGCGGCAGGGGCTGGGTTGGGCTGGGTCGGGTTTGGTCGGGTTCTGTCGGGTTTTGCCCCGCCGCGATCGGCAAAGGCTCCCAAATCCCGGCTCCCCGAGCGCTCCCGGCGCCGCGATTGCCAGCGGTGACTCACCGGCCCCGCGGCGCCCATCGGAGCCCATCCCGGGATGGGCCGATCCCGCTGGAAAAGGGAGACGGGGCCCGTAGCAAGGGGGTGCTCTCGCCCCGGGAGTGGGGAATGTGGGAACATCCCGGCTGCTGGAAAAGCGGCTCCGCGGGGAAAAGCTTCATCCGAAAGCGGCGACCCGACGTTTCCTCTCAATAAAGCCATTAAAAATAAAAATAATGATGCTGGAAATAAATCAATCCGGTTCCAAGCGCGGCAGAGCCCTGGGGATTTTCTCCCCTGTGCCCGTGGCCGTGGATCGGCACATCCTGCCGGGATCCTTGGATGGGGGCCAGGCAGGGACCTGCCTCGGGCTGCCCAGAGATCTCCGTGCAAAGCCACCCCCGGGAAGCCGAGCAGGGCCTGGGAAGGGTTTAATTAAAGCAGGAGAAAGGATCCCTGGGCGAGGAAGGCCGTCAGCACCTCCCCGGCTCTCCCGGGAAAGCCTCGTGCTGCAGACAACGGAATTAGGGGGGATGTCACAAAGGGGTCGGGAGAGCAAAGCAGGGGGTGGCTCAGGCACCAAAACACGGGAATTCCTGCGGGATCTCTCAGTCCCACGGCATCTCCTCGCCTGGTTTGTGCCACTCACACCAAGTGAAGGTGCTCGGGGCCATGGGTGGGACGTGGTGGCCCCCCCAGGGTGGAACAATTCCCTGTGGAGAGGTGGGATTTGCCATGGAGCGGGCACCGGGGGGTGAGGGCACTGCTGGGGAGGGAGCAGAGCAAGGGGAGGAGGGACTGAGCGTTTGCAGGAGCTCAGCTGCCTGAGGGCTCCACTTGGGAATCTGTCTGGCTTTTTATTGCAGCAGGGGCTGGAATTAAGACTTTCAACACTCTCCAGGTTGGTCAAGGTTGGGGATCCTGAGCTGCCTTAAATCCTCACACCCATCCTGGGCAATTCACACAGAAATCCAGGGCACTCAAGAGTCCATTTTTAACCTTCCCTGACATTTTTTGGTCTGTCTGGAACCTCCTCTGGGCAGGCAAGGGGTCTTGGAGGGTGACAAGCTGACCGTGAGCCAGCTGTGTGCCCAGGAGGGCAGTGGGATCATGGGATTCCATTTGGGAAGAACGTGACCAGCAGGTCAGGGAGGGGATCCTGCCCCTTTCCTTAGCCCTGGTGTGTTGTGTTCAACTTTGGTCTCCACAGTTAAGGAACACCTGGAGAGGGTTCAGAAGAAACCCACAAAGATGAGGAGGGTTCTGGAGCATCTTCCTGAAGAGGAGAGACTGTGGGATCTGGGCCTGGGTAGTCTGGAGAAGATGGAGAAGGGATCTCCTCAATCCATAGAAAGATCTCCTCCTTCTCCTTCTCCTTCTCCTTCTCCTTCTCCTTCTCCTTCTCCTTCTCCT